GTGCTGTGCCACTGAGCTGTATTCCCAGCGCTGTGTACATATTTTTGTGTGGACATGTTTTAACTTTCTTGGGTATAGATCCAGGAGTAGGATTGCTGGATCATACAGTGAAAGAAAGTACGTTTAGTTTTATAAGAAACCACTAAACTGTTTTTCAAAGTACCTGTCCTGTGGCAGATTGATTATTCCTGTTGATTCCCAACTTCACTAGGATCTGGTGTGAGGGTTTTGGAGTTTTGCCATTATAATAGACCAGTAGTGACATTTCCTTGTTTGCCATTTGCTGAATACAGACGAGGTTGAGCATCTTTTCATATGCTTATTTGCCATCTGTTTGTCGTGCTTGGTGAGGTGTCTGTTTAGAACTTGTACCCATTTTTAAAGCTGGTTTTTTGGATTTTTTTTTTTTTAAGTATAGAGATTTCAAGAGTTCTTCATGTATTTTGAATACCACCCTTTATTAGATGTATTTCTTGCAAAAATTTTCTCCCAATCTGTGACTTGTCTTTTCATTCTCTTAAGATTGTGTTTTGGCAGAGCTAACATTTTTTACTTTAATTCCAGTTTTGCAAGTTTTCTTTCTTGGGTAATGTTTTTGATATTTGTGTAAGAAGTTACCACCAAAGTAAAAAATCACATGATCGTCTCTTTTTATAGTTTTGCATTTTACATTTAGATCTGTGCTAATTCTCATTCATTTTTATGTCTGGTAAAAATCTGTCTAAATTGTCTTTTAAATCATCTGAATGTCTGATTGTTCCAGCGCCATTTGTTGGAGTCTTCTTTTCCTTTTTGAATTGGCTTTGCTCCCTTGTCAAAGATCAGTGGATTGTATTTGTGTGGGTCTGTTTGTAGGCTGTTCTGTTGCATTGATCTGTCTGTTCTTCTGCCAATAACACAATGTCTTGATTACTGTAGCTTTGTAATAAGTCTTGAAGCCAGGTAGTGTCAGCCCTCTGACTTTATTCTTCTCCTTCAACATGGTGTTTTTAGAATCACTTTGTTGGTATCCGTGAAATAACTAGCTGGAATAGTTTTCACACTAAGAATTTTGCATTTGCTTTTTAAATTCAGATATATATATATATATATATATATATATATTTACCTTTGTTATGTTCCCAGGCCATTTATGTTACAATTTTTCTTTTTTAGTGGTCATCAAAGATTTGTCATTAGCCATATAAATAATATTTGTTAAAATAAAAAGCAATCGTATGATAGCTTATTACATTTTGTATTATATAAAACTATACTTAAACATTTGCACATAATATGCATGCATATATATAAAAATCTGTGATGCAAGGATAGTGATTTTTATTTCTTAAGTCCTCTTTTTTGGGACCGAGGGAGTTTAGAGGCAGCTTTTATAGTTCCCCTGACATCTTTTAAAACACATCTACTTGTAGGAATCCCAGATTTCACTTGTTGAGAACCTCATATATTTTGAGAGATACAACTGTCAAAAGTATTTTGCATCAGAACCTAGAGGTGATGGAGACAAAACCGCCATGAAATAGACAAGCAAAAAACCAAGACTAATACCTACTACCAAAAAGTAATGAACCCAAACGTGCGTCATTTTAAGGGTTATATATCTCTTCTCTTTGACTGAATTTAAATTTATTTTATGAGGATATAGGAATTCTATGAGCATGAAGAAAAAGATAATTATTAATACTAAATAAGAACTCTATATAGAGAGCCACTTAAAATATAAGTATTTATTTTTTAGTGGCACATTAAGAGATAAAATAGAAATGCTTAACTTTTAAATGTTGAAGTCCTGCTTTATTTCTGTTACTAGCAGTTAGAGCTTAGCAGATTTATACTTCAAGAATGCTTAATATAACATTGGGTTTTTACTATTTGTAATTCAATGCCTGAATTGTGTTCTTAGGAAATACATTCTATGTGTACATCTTTTTTTTTTTTTAATTTAAGTAGAAAAGAAAAAAAAAACAGTGAAAGGGTACAAGTTATACAGATTTACAGAAGAAAAAAATGAACAGTAGGAAATCATTAGTTAATGGATTACATATTGCCATCTTAGAAATAATTGTTCAAGTCACAAAATTAAAGCTTGTAGAGTGGACATTCCAACAATGATACTGCAAACAGTTCTGTTCAATGATCCAATAAAACTCTGTGATATCATTTTCTATCTTATACACTTAAATATACATGCAGTTATATAGTTTAGAGCACTTTCTTTTCCTCTCTTTTGTACAATGACTATTTCTAATGTGTACATCTTTATTCCCTTTGAAGCTTACATATATTTTTCAGAATTTTGTAATAGCAGGTGAAGAAATATTACCATTTAACATTATAAAATATTTAATTCAAGCAGTCAGGTGTCACCAAGTTGATGTAGTTATGTGGAAACGAGCTGCGGCCTTCTGCTTAGGGTGATCATTCTGGCTTCTCTCCTATTAGCCAAATACGAGAAAAATTCACGGATCCTCGCCAACCCTGAACAGCATAATTAGCTAAAAGTAAGGGAGAACAACTTTGATAGAAGAAAAAACGTTATTTAATTTATTTCTACCACACTAGTGAGGTTAAACATTTTGTTTATTAGCTTTTATTTTATTTTTTGCAACTTGTTTGTTCTTTCGTCCTATTTCTAATTTGAGGGTGTTTGTTCTTTTTCTAATTGATTTTGTTAGAATTTTATGACTAGAAGTGAAATGGCTAGTTCTGGTCTTTTTATGTGCTGCCAGGAGTTTTCCTTGGCCTCTAGGTCTGTTTTATCTTTTTAATACATATACTTAGAGTCCTTTTTTTGCACTTAATGCTATATTGTGAACACTGTCTTGTATCACTCAACATTTTTTGACAATGTCATTTCAAATGTTTTTGTAGCCTTGTTAGTTGCATTATAATAGGATTTTGTTTTGCTTCTCACATGTTATTGAGATCAGATTGTTTTATGGCCTGAAATTTCAATTCAATAAACTATTCATTGTTAATTTTTATATTAATAACTGTAACAATGTATTTATTAAATACATACCTATAAAGACATATAATTGAGATAAATTCTTTTAGTTTATTTGATCAGAAACATTTATTTTTCTAAAATTTGAGCTTTCAAACTTGAAATATTTTTGTCTTGGATGTCTTGTCAGAAATAAAGCCTTTCTTAAAGCTTTTGGCTTTATTGAGAAATATGTTAAAGTATATAATTACAATACCTAGGAATATTTGCTCAGGCCTAATTTTAAGGAAGTAGAAGTCAACAAAGGCAAATTATTTGAGATATTACTTATGGTTCTCCTATTGACCTAAAATAATATAAAAATTTTTTACGATCTCCTTTTTTCGCAGTGACATTTGTTAGCAGATTCCCTGTTTAATAATACACAATGTAGGATCATGACACTGAGAAAACAATAAGGCCATTGTTTGAAATAATGTGCACTATGTTCGAAGGACTGTGAATTTTTGTTTTGAATTGTTTTTATTATACAGTTTTGGTTCTAGAATACAATACATAATGTATTTTAACTTATTGTGATACAGAGGTACTTACTTTGGGGAATAAGATTAACATTTTGCAGTAATCTTTACTTTCACAAATTTTTGTGTCTTCATATGCTATGTGTTTGGTAGAATAGGTTTCTTTCACTTGACAGAAGTTTCTCATTAGGTTTTAGATTTATGTATTTAGAACAAATTGACTGTGCTATCATTATGTACTCATTCGCAGCAAGCCAGTGTTTGGATGATTGCATTCTGTCTCCCCTTTTGAGAATGGGATTATTGTAAGGCTGCTACTTGCTTATAGAGAAGAGGCAGTATCTGGAGATTAGGTTGAGGTAAAGATGCGCAAATTTACAGCTTCCTCACGAATACTCTAGTTATGCAAGTCCAAAGGGTAATGTGAACTGAAATTACAAGATGGGAGGGTGTGTGCTATATACATCAGGCTGGAAGATGCCAAGGCAGGGTAAATCACGCACTAGAAGTCAGCCAGGCTGCCCAGGTAAGTAGTCAGGAGAACAGAAAGGCACAGCTGCGTAGCAAGTAGTGTTGTGTGTTCTTGCCCCACCAGGCAGGATACAGCTTACTACTGCCAGACACTGTGTCATCCCTGTCGTGAATAGATGGCAGTTTAGTGATTAAAATAAAAATCCCACGAGTCATCATTCATTCCTTTTCCCCACTTCCGTAGCTCGTCCACTGACACAGGACGAGTCTCAGGTCCTGCTCACTTAAATGATGCTCTCACCTGGATTTCTGCAACACTGTCCCTTATTCTCTGTTTGCCCCTGTAAGCTTCATCTCCAGAGGAGCCACAGACATCCTTATGAAGAGAAGTTATGCCTTACCTCTCTCTACATTAATGCTTTCCACTGAGTTTTAATGCTGTTTATAAATATAATCTAATTTCTGTACAAGTCCTCTGTGACTTGCACCCTGACTAACAATTCTGACCTCCTCTACATCACCCTCTCCCCTGCTTCCCACCTCGGTCTTTCTATTCCTTAGTCTGGCACTGTGCCTTGCTATCCTGTTTTCAGGTCTGTGTTGAAAGGTAGCTTCTTCAGTGAGACCTGCTGTGAGCACACTTTGCAAAGCACTGTCTTAAATCATGTCTCATTCATCCACATCTGGTTTTTCTCCTTCATTGCACTTGACCATCTGACTAGAACCCATCCATTTATTCAAAAATACCGTGCGTCTGAAGTACAACTAGGCATTGTTCTAAACACCTTGGATTCATCCATGAACTATAAGGACAAGAGAAAATCCCGATTGTTGTGCAACTCACTTAGGAGAGCAAGGAAACAATACGTAGTAAATATATGACTGCCTTGTAGATATGAGGCAGTATGTTAAAGGCAGCAGATGTAATAGAGGAAAGTGAGCATGGTAATAGTGGCTGGTATCTGACAGAGTTAGGGACGTCTCATATTAAATGAGACGGTGTTGGTGGGCCTCACTGAGCTGATTATAATATAATATTCTTTTGTTTCTTTTACTTTTAGCTTCAGCACCAGTCAGCAAAGTGAATAAGTACTGTGCTCCTTCCAACTTTCATTCCACTTGGGGGAAAAAGAATATCATCATGTCAAACATTACGATTGACCCCGACGTCAAACCCGGTGAATATGTCATCAAGAGCCTCTTTGCAGAATTTGCTGTTCAAGCTGAGAAGAAAATTGAAGTTGTAATGGCCGAACCCTTGGTAAGTAGAGCTGACCTATAAACCTGAAATATTTTCTTGACTTTTGCATTAGTCATTATAATACAGATTTTCCAAAAGAAATAATACAACTCGAAAAAATATTAAGGGATAGGTTAGTCGTGATCCAGAAATCTGCAATTACTTTAGAATCCACTTGGAAAATTACTGCAAATCATGATGGAACAAAGATGAATTTGGCTAATGTGTTGTGAAAGCCAGATAAGCATAGCAGGAAATTAAAGAAAAAATCTAGACATTTCTACAAGTTGTCACTAAAACTGTAGCTTAACTTATTGTTACTCAGTTATTTTTTTTTATATTTGTAGCATATGAGGCATAATTAAGGAATGTGAGGAACTCTGTGGTTAAGAGTATATATTGAGGAAGAAAGAAAGACAGAAAGCGTATTTTCGCTCAGGATTCTAAAGAGTTGTAAATACTACAGTGATAACAGCAGATTCGCAACGAGAGGGGAAGGAATTGAAGGCAGAGGCTGTTGAACTGTTGCTGGAGTGAAAGTGATCTTGAACTAAGGTGTTAGCAGTAGACGCTACAGAAGAAAGTAAGAGAATAGACAAGGAGTTTGACAAGTAACAAAACAAAAGGGGGGCTTTGAATGCAAGTGAAAGGATAAAGATACTTTGAAGTGTTAGGAAAGATGGGACTATGTGTATTTGGGCAAAGTACACAGGGATTTCTTGGTCTCGAAAAAGTGAACATGGACATTTTTCATTTGGATTGAGCTAGACTTACTGGTGATCTGACCATGAGAAATTGTTTGGCTGCTAATTGGAAATACTTTTTGAGAACTCACAAGAGATGGTGACTAGAAACACAGATTTTTGGTGTCATCTATATTGAAGCCAAAAGAGCAGGTAGTGAGATCAACTATGTTTAATAGAGATATTGCCAAACAATATAGGGAGTGAGAATACTGTGAGAAACTGTTACTGGTTTCAAAAGTAAAAGCAATCCATTAGGAGAATAGTTACTGCTTGTTGACTCAACTTTGTTCAAGGAATTTTGAGGAAGTTAGGCTACTTGTTGAGTTTAAAGGGGATGGATACGTGATGTACCACAATAACAGTATTGGTTACAAAGAGGATGATGGTCATGAAGATGAAGATATAACAGCTGAAACTCATTTATTATAATAGTTGTTCACTACCAATTTGAGACTCAAGAGTGCTTATTGCTTCTCTGAGGTCAAAGCCAGTAAGTAGTACAGTGAGGACTTAGGCACAGTAATACCGTCTGAACCTGTATGCATACTTTTACCTATTCGCCTTCCTCCAAAGGAAGGCATGGAGGGGATGACCTCCGGAAAGAAGGGAACCGAAGGTGTTAGTGTTGGATGTTCTGATTCCAAGGATGAGGTGCTTTCTTATAAGCAGATGAAACAACTCTATGAGAAAAGCATCTATGAAATAATTTTTTTTTTTTTTTTGGTACTGGGATCAAACTCACTACCTATTAACCTGTCAAGCAGGCTCTTCTGCCACTGAGCTAAATCCCTGGCCCAAAATAATGTGTTCTTGGGTTTAAAAGAATTGTTGATCAAATATCTGTTTCAAAACTGCATAACTTGTTATCCCAGCACGCAGGAGGCTGAAGCAGGAAGATTGTTGCAAGTTCTAGACCAGCCTGAGCTACAAAGGGAGCTCAAGGTGAACTGCACAGTGAGACCCTGTTTTAAAAGGCTAAAACAAAACAAAACAAAAAACAAACTATAACTTGCTGTATTAAGTTTAAACTATTTGGGGCTGGGGGTTTAGCTCAGCGGCATAAGCGCCTGCCTTGAAAGCAGGCAGTCGTGAGTTCGATCCCCGGTACCGATAAAAAGGAAAAAGACCAAAAAAAAAAAAGTTTAAACTATTTTATGGTTGCTTTCTGCATAATTAATGATTATTTTTATATCAGTCTATATATTTTTAGAGCTTGTGCATGGGATACAGTTCTATTTTAGAAAAAGGATTACGAAAGCTTACAGATTGGAGTTGATAATAAGCTTTATTTATAATGTCTATTATCTATGAAATGTTAATTTTCTTTATCAGTGTTCTCTGAATTATATGATGCATTACTACTCTAGCTACTTAAGCAGCAATACATTAAGAAAAACATGTTAAAAATTTTATTGTGGGAAATTTCAAAGATATATAGAAATAGACTTTTATAGTACAACAGATGCCTGGGACCTATCACCAGCTCCCATAGTTCCAACTTGCAGAGCACATTTTTAAGACACTTCCTATTTTATGAACTATTAGATAGCAGTTCCATGTGATACAGTCCTATCAGTTCTCAAATATCGTATATTTTGGAGGACTTTTATTTTTCAGATAGAAAGCTTTAGAGTGAAAGTATTAAAAAGAAATATGGATTCAATCACCCAATTTGACCAAGTCTATAAAATGGCAGTTTCAAAACTTATATGTCTTTTTCTTTGTTTTCCTTTGGGTGCCTTCCTCAGTGTCTGGGGGAGGCTCAGGCTCTGTTGCCTGAGGGCATCGCCAGAGCTTCTGACCAGGCTTGAGTGGTCCTGTCACCTTCCATTCCTTCTCTATCTACACCACAAACTGATCACCTTTCTCTTTAAACATCGTCTTCACTTGTCTTTGCTACAGGGTAATTTCAAGTTGTTGTTAGGTCATTCTGGGCTCTTCATGGTCTTCCCGTAGTTTGTATAATGTTTTGTGATACTCCTATCTTGATATATGCTGTGATACTAAAAGTCCCTCTGTAATCTTTGGTCCCGTGCATGTGTTTTTATTTTTCCCTCAATCTGAAATGTTTTCAAAAGCTCTACTCATACTTCCAGACTTCCCACTTTTCCCCTCTAACAGTTGGTCCTGCCCCAAGCTAAATAAATCTATTCCTATATAATGTGTATATATCCTGTATCTGTTAACTATCAGATAGTAACTTGTGCGTATTGTATATCTGTCTATAATACAGATTAGGAGTATATCGTATTATGATTAATTTCCTGCCTGTCTGTCTCCTCCAGTGTTAGTTTCTTGATGCCAAGAACTAGGTGTCTCCTCTGTTTACTCAGGGTGGTAGGTGCTGCCAGGTTGGTAGGCACTTGGGAAGATACTCAGTTTTTTGCAAGTTGAATTTAGCCTCAAGTAGCATTGCTGTGACTTATAGCCTTTGTGCTTCTAGCAAAACACTATGTTATTAATCTAACCAAAGTTTCTAATAGTTCTTTCAGAACAGTATGATGCTGACTATATTGTATTGTTCATATAATAGATAATTTCAGAGTTATCTGCTATATAATCTGAGATTATAAAATTATGGTTAATAGTAGTGAGAACTGTATCAGAATATTGATATTTCCACCCTAATAGCACAACAGGAAATTTACTCAGGTTCTCATCATATTTTATAGATGTTCCTCCAGTATGTGCCTGTGTACTAAAATCATTCCTCTTTATGTAGGTCAGACTTCTGCCAGCTTTATTTTCATTTATATCCAAATCTGGATAGGTTGGAAATACATTGCATCAAGATAATGAAGATGCATTTAATCTAATACTGTGACAGCACTTATGTTATACCTTCAGCTGCTTCTATTGTGATTTCATTTATTTCTCCCTTTAAGGTAATAAACAGCAAAGCAAAATGACTTTCTGAGATCTCGAATGAAAGTCTTGCAGAGTCACTTTAAAGAATAGAACATCTAGCCAGGTGTGGTGGTGTCTGTTTGTAATCTCAGCACTCTGGCAGCCAAGGCAGGAGGGCGATAGTTTCAAGTCTTGGCAACTTAGACCCTGTCTCAAAATAAGAAATAAAAAACTCAAATGCAAATATCCTGGATTCAGTTCCCAGAACTAGGAAAAGATAAAGAACCCAGAGCTTATTAGATACAAGGATGCTGGCATGCCTGCATTTTCTTGTTAGTTTTGGCTGTTTATTTTTAACATGTAATATTTGAAGAGTGGGACCCTGCACTGCTCACTGGAAGCTCAGTGTACATGGAAGAGCCTTTTTTGGACTGTGATCTTTGATATACACAAGACAGTAGGGCACAAAAAAACTTGAATCACAAACTTCTGTAGAAAAGACGACTGCTAAAATGGAAAAATTGGTTTTTCTTATTCCCATATTAGAAACCATTATAAAAGGAGGTTAAGTAGGCCAGAAGAGTTGAAGATTAACCGAGCTTGATTTTTAGCCACAATTTCATTCCATTTTTTTTTTAAGAAGGAAGATTCTGATTAAAATTGTAGCTTGCAAACTGTGCCACCCAATACTTGAGGTTTTCTTTCTAAAAGGAGATAGAGTAATTTGGGGTAATGACACAAGCATAGCCACAGTCACCTGTTAATCTTACAGATTGCCAGTGACCAGAAGAGAAGGTCGAAGGGCCGGCTTCTTTTGTTTTCTACCTGTGTTTTAAGCCATATGTATTTCTTTTAGGCCCATGAGTTTTTAAAAAGTTTGCAATTTCTATTGCTTTTTAAAAAACTATTAAATATGTAAGATTTTAAAAAAGGGAATCTTCTCCTATTATGATCAGTTTGCTGTAAACTACATTTTCTTATAGTTTTGGCTGTTTATTTTGAAGAATGGGACACTGCACAACTCACCGGAAACTCAGTGTACATGGAAGAGCCTTTTTGACTGTGCTCTCTGATATGCAATCATCTGGACGCCTGTGTCGGACTTTTTCCTGAGGGCTGGCTAGTCAGTCCCCTGAGGCTAGTCAGTGGCTAGCGTGTGACAGTGCTGAGGACTGGTCATTAGCATAATGGGGAGCCAGAGGCAGGAGAGTACTGAGTTTTCGGATATTTGTATGTAAATTTCACTCCTTGCCTTAACCTCATCTTCAACTGCTGTCTCTGCTAAACAGTCTGTCTGTTTTGCCCTTTCCGGTGAGCAGTGTGCAGGGATGGACCAGTCTCTTTGCTAAGTAGGTGGTGGAAAGGAATAGAAGGGAGAGGCTCAGACTTATGTAATCTTTTCAAAACCACCTTGTACCCAGGCCTGTT